GGCTGGTAGTTTCGAACTGCTGACTTTGAGGTTCGCAGCCCGATTTGTAACCACTATGCTACCAGAGCTCCTGTATAAGATGGTAGCAGGGGGACTGCAAGAAAAACGTAGCAATGTTGTTGTTCGCTGCTTTGAGTTGGTTCTAACTCAGTGACTCTATTCACAACAGAACGAGTCCTGCATCATTCTCACCATTGTTATGCCTGAACCCACTGCTGCTGCCACTGTGTCAAACCACCTCATTGGGAATCCTCCTGTCCTCTTTTTTTGCTGACCCTCCACTTTTCCAAGCATGATGTCCTTCTTCAGGGATTGGTCCCTACTGAAAACATGTCCAAAGTATGAGAGACAAAAAGTCTCGCCATGCTGGTTTCTAAGGAGCATTTTGGTATTATTTCTTCCATGACAGCTGTGTTTGCTTCTCTGGCAGTCCACGGTACTTTTAATATTCTTCACCAACACCGTAATTCAAATGCATCAATTCTTCTATAGTCTTCCTTATTCACTGTCCAAATTTCACAAGCATATGAGGCAGTTGCAAATACTATGGTTTGGGCCAAGCATATTTCAATCCTCAAACTGACATTTTTGCTCTTTAATACTTTAAACAGGTTGTTTTGTAGCAGATTTGTCCATGCAAGATGTTATTAGATTTCTTAACTACTGTTTCCTTTCTTGTTAATTATTGATCCATGCAAAATGGAGTCACTGACAACTTCAGTCTTTTCTCAGTTTATCATATTACTTACTGTACATTTGTGAAGATTTTTGTTTTCTTTATATTGTGGTGCAATACTGAAGGTTGTGTTTATTGATCTTCATCAGTAAGTATTTCAAGTCCTCTTCACTTCCATCAAGCAAGGTTGTGTCATCTGCACATCTCAGGTTGTTAATGAGTCTTCTTTCAATCCTGATGCCACATTCTTCATGTAATCCACTTTTTCAGATTATATGTTCAGCATACAGATTAAGTATGGTGCAAGGATACAACCCTAATGCAAACTTTTCTTGAATTTAAACCATCCAGTACCCCCTTTTTCTGTTCTAATGACTGTCTGTTGTTGGTCTATGTACAGATTCCCCATGAGTACAATTAAGTGTTCTGGAATTTTTTGCAATGTTATCCACAGTTTGTTACAATCCACACAGTCAAATGCCTTTGCACAGTCAATAAAGCACAAGTAAACATCTTTCTGGTATTTTCTGCATTCAGTCAAGTTCCATCTGGTGTCAGCAATGATATCCCTCATTCCATGTCCTCTTCTGCATCTGGCTTGAATTTCTTGCATTTCCCTGTGTGTGTACTTCTGCATCTGTTTTGGAATTATCTTCACCAAAATATTACTTGTATGTGATATTAATGATGTTGTTTGATGATTTAGGCATTCTAGAAAAATCACAGTTTTGAAAGACTCATGACTAATGTGATCAGCAAAGGATCACAAATGGACTAGAAAACATTAGCGTAGATGGTTTTTGGGAACAAATAATAAAATCATATAATATATATTGCGATACTTTATGTTACTATAAAGAGATCAGTGCACCTTGGGGGTCAGCACCTTAACCAAGCGATCCAATTTAACATCACTAATAGTGAGCTCTGGTAGCATAGTGGTTACGAATTGGGCTGCGAACCTCAAGGTCAGCAGTTTGAAACTACCAGCTGTTCCGCGGGAGAAAGATGAAGCTTTCTGCTCTCGTAAAGATTTATAGCCTCAGAAACCCTGTACAGGGTCGCTATGAATTGGAACCGGCTCCACGGCACATAACAATAATAGCAATACATGTTGTTAAGTGTCTCTGAGGTGGTTCCGACTCATAGCGGACCTGTATACAATTTCCAAGGAGCAACTGGTAGATATGAACTGCCTTGTGTTTGCAGTCTAGTGATGATTTGTATGAGGGAGCTTCAAAAAGTTTGTGTAGTTTTAAAAAAAGGTTTGTAGAAAGATTCCATTATCTTTTCATTCCATTTTCCACAGATTTCTTGAAGCCCCTTTGTATATAAGGCAGACCAGTGATTTCAGGCGAGACCTCATTTCCAATGAATCTCACTATCGTGAACATGGTACAGACACAGGAAGTGAGCTTCAGCACATTCCCAAAGTGTCTGCATTTTATAGATGAGGAGATTCTGGGCGTTACTGGGAGCCCACCTTTACTCAGAACGTCATCCCCACGAGATGGCAGGTCATTTGTTAACCAGTCCTTCAGTCTGGTGTAGATGTCCCCAACTGTCCACCTCTCTACCACAGTTCCCTGGCGGGCTCCTGGTGGGCTCCTGCCATGGCTTATTCATCTTTGTAACCCAAATGTTCAGTACAATGCTAGGTGGAATGCATATTTGGTGAAGGGACACATGTTTAAATAAAGACAACAAGTAAATAAATCTGTCCCATGGCTTCCCAACTTTGCATTTATCACTGGTAACAGATTACAAAGAGGCAAGGGATTATAAAGGCAACTATGCTGACAGCAGTTACAAGTCTCAACCAATACCCTAATTACAAAGGAGCCAACAGGAAGACAATCATTTTCTATTGGCATGTCTTCAGGTGCCCGAGTCCTTTGTTATAGATGGCAAAGTTGCACACACCCGCAACAAGTGCTGGCAACATCCAACCCTTTAAAATACACAAATGTCTCTGCTACTAAGGAAAAAAAAA